AATGACCAAATCAAGAGGAAGTGACGCCATAAGCGGCAAAGTCGGTGCCGCCATGCCAGAATTCTAAACCGGTCGAAAAAATTTTAAAATGCTTATTTTGGCCTTTTTGGAGTATTTAGGAATACGTAACGCGTGTTTTTTATTTTCGTAAAAAAAAACTCAGAAAATTCGAGAACTGCCAGGAGGCATAGGAAAAAAGACAGTGTTTTAAATACCAATCTGGGATAAGAATCCCTCACCCTTTTTTTTCTATTATAGTAAATTAAAGTCTAATAATTAATAATAGTGTATTTTGTAACAAATTAGAAAATTTTACAATTAATTACAGGTCACCAGTAGAGGCAGAACTGATCAGTGTATAATTGTCTCAACGTTGTTGTTTATTTCTCTCATATTGCCTAGAATGATTACTGTTGCATAATATGCTAAAATTTATTGATTTTAATTGCTTTCTCGTTATTAGTTTACCTACCTGTTTATTCCTATTTATTGATTGATTGTGTATTGTCTATTTGCATGACTTACTATTGATTTATAAATGTGAAATGTTGGTATGTAACTGTGATTGGTTAATAATGTAGATATATATATGGAAGGCTCATCAGGTACCTTGGAAAAGGGTGTATGGACTTGGTGCATAGAAAAAATCCTATCGTGAACATTATCTCAGTCGTACGGGGCTGAGAAGTCCCATACAGGAAGGAGCTCGAAGGTATAGATCACCTTCATACCGAACAGGGTATTGAGGTGGTCGTATGTTTGGAATCCATTACCATATGGGAATAGGGACGGCCGGTTAATTGACAAGTTTGGTATTGGGTTCACACATATAGGGTATCCCTATGGACCCCCAAGGGTACTGGTAAACAAGTAAGGAGGTAAGTTTACTATTATTGTTCACTTAAATCTGTAATAAAACGCTATTTTGGTTATTGTCTTCATAGATTGGTTTTGAAAACTCATAAGGGTAAGTATGGAAATAAGGATTTTTATGTTAAACGAATTTATTTTTTAAAAAAAATAATGGCTTTATTAATTGTTTTATGATTTTTACCAACTTTTGATTTTTTGTATCGGTGTTAAACATAATATTCTTACTTGGGTATTGTAGTTTATTCCTCTTATTTAAGCATTTCAGATCAAGAAGATTAAGATCCAGATTCTGAGCAGTAAGAAGACTGCAAATAAAAGCTGCTTCCCGCATCCCATCAGAGTTGCCCAGCAAAGGTTAACTCTGTAAGAACTTTAGTTGTGTTTACTTTTATTTACTTATTCCGTTATTGAGAACTTCCTTTAAAAGACATTCTCATAACCCTATTGAGCATCCTGAATCATTGTGTAAGGAATGTAAACCCTAAACTCTAAATTGCTTTCACTACTATTTTATTGATTCAATATTCCATATTCATTAAATTCTAAGTCTCTATAACATTTTAGATTACATCATAAAAGGATTTACTTTCATTATCAAGATTTTCATCTTGATGTAAAACCTATAAATTTAATCAAGAACTTTATCACATAAATTAAATAATAAGATAATAAATATGATACTAAAAATTTTATTGTCATTTATTAAAATAAATTGTAAAACAATAATGTATTCAATATATTATACGAATAATTAAATTGTAGGCATAACGCTTATATCCCTAACAAAACCATATATCAGAAACATCCATGGGAGGTAGACTTATTCTTCAGATGGATAATTCTCATTTACAATTGATGCCTGATCTCATTAGTCTGTCAGATATTATAAGACTTGAATGGTTAGGTCTGTATTGATAGTGGTTGTATCTGATTGAAGATGAATTTTGATAAAAAAATGAAGTTGGCCTAGAAAGTATGAACCAAATGTTACCACCCAAGGCTTGTTTTTGTTGAATCCAAAATGACTTTATGATGCAGAACCCTAAAACCCTTACTTGAACCTTAGAACTCTTTAATCATTGTAGAATAGAATTTAGATCACAAGTAAAAAGAAATCAAATTTATTCAATCACCCAAATGGTAGAAATTAAATAGAACCCAAGAAAGATAAATGATATCCCTTAAATCCAATCCAAACAAGCACCAAGAATAATTGAAATAGGAAATCAAAATTGAAAATACAAGTGATAACAATTGTATTCTAAATCAATACCTTGTGCATAAAGTAAAAAGAAAGCCAAAACACTCTCAACTCAATTTTAAAATATTTGATTACAACTCTTGATGTCCACAAAGAAGAGTTCATTTGGTATTTATAGCCAAAGAAATCAATGATAAGTTACAACATTATAATTACAATTGTAACTCTCACAATAACTAGGCTAATTATGTGATAATTACAAGTGTAACTCCAACAATAACTAGGCTAATTATGTGATAATTACAATTGTAACTCCAACAATAACTAGGCTAATTATAGGCATGTAATTGTTATGAACTCCTTATAACTTCAATCTTCTTAACCAACACCACTAATTTTTTGTGACACTATATAGTTATAGGCTCGTTCTTGTAATAACACTAAGACAAGACTTAAGACCAAATGAGTTACACTTGACTATATGAACTTAATTAACTCAAACTAAATAAAACAATTCAAAATACTTAAAACAGCTCAACTAATCAAGTCCATATACAAGACTTATTCACCTATTACCAATAAGACTCAAACAAGCCCAAATTATCCCAAATCATTTAAATCCAATTAAAGTTACGAATTTGGACTGTTTAAAAAGCTCATATTTGAACTTTCCGTAATTAGTCAGCCCATCATCCACATGTTTTTGAGTGAAAATTTGGAGCAAATCTTTAAGCTTCTTTACTTTTGATCTTATTACTGGTCCACTGAAACTTTTCAGGTTTAGAACTCTATTTATGTTCACGTCATTTGAAATTTGCTCCAAGTTACCTTTAGATACTCTTTGAGTATCTTGAGTATTTTTAGCTTTGTTTGCATCACTTTATCAAAAGAAATATTGTTTTCATAAACTGTTATAGCATTTCTTAATCTATTTATTTCTCTTACTTTCTTTTCTCTCCTCCTGCAGGTTGAGGATATTGTTCGTGCAGCAAAGAGGGCCTGCTATAGATCAGGATGAATATTTGAAAACCTTGAAAAGGGTAAGCATTCTTCCGGAATAGCCCTCTGTTCCGGCTTCTTGGTTTCCACAAGATCTGAATATTTTTTCATTAGGGAATTTTGGGGAAATAAAAAGTTTGTAACCAATTTTTTTACTCTCTTGGGAGGATGATTTGAGGACAACAAATTGCTGCCCTTCAGGAGAAATATTTATTGTGACATTGCAAAGCTAACAAGTAACATCCCCGTATGTTGCCAGGTTATGATATAATGTTCTTGAATTCGGCAATGTTTAATTGGGTTAGAGCATTTTCTATTCAGCCCCCTTACATTTTACCAATGCCGAAGCATCCCTTTTCTTTCTTTTTGTTTTAACTGAAATGAATACAAAACCATCAATTTTTATCAATAGTTGGAGCTCGTCTTGTTCCTTTTATTTTATTTTTAGTGCTCAATTACTTGATATGTAAAATTTAGTTATAATTTTCAGATTTAATGTGTTATTGTTAAACTCTACTGTTATATCAAATTGTAAGCAATGAATTACAGGTTTTAACCTGCCTTGGGGTGAGTTAGCGAATATGGTCATCTCTGATCTTTTCTAGAAAAGGTTTCAAATCCTTGACTAGTGGTATTCAAGGTAGTGCTCGCCACTTGTGTCCACAAGTCTTTTCAGATTTGGCTTCCAAAGTAATTACGGGTTTGTTCTTTTCTTGTGCCAATAGAAGGTTTATGCTTCTGTCAAAAGTTGATGGATTGAATTTAGTTTTGATTTTGTATTTCCTGCCTACGTCCATTAATAAAATTGCTTATTTACCTTACAGAAATGAAGGGGTTATAATAAGGGAGAACATCATATTACGGTTCTCTCTACACTTACAGGGAAATACACTTCTCTCAACAATAACTCAGTAGTTTTACATCCTTTTAACTTCTCAACATTTTGGCTTGCATCCTAAACTCTTGGCAACTACATTATTGTCAAGCATAAGGCCATAAAAACCACAGAGAAAATGCTAGCATGGTAAGCTTGAAGAATTGTAAGGGTATCGTATCTGAATAAAAGCTGGAAAAATTAAGAGGACAATTATTGAAGTTTTTGCAAGGGACCCAGTTACCTATCTTAATAAAAGGAATAGGATACGGTATGGTAAGTAGTTAACCTCAGCTTGCCTGACTAAAAGGCAGATTTTCTATTCGATTTTTCAGACTTTATCAATTACCTATATATTAAAAGTGGCATATTCTTGCTACTTAAAAAAAGATATATTCCTAGGTTGATGCTGAGTAGATGTCATTATCTTTTGGCTGAGACTATCAGCCACCATGAACAAACAATAGCCTTTTGTTTTATCCTAGAGAAAAAAAAAAAGAAACACTATAATTCCAAATTAGAAAGATGTAGATATAAAATGAGAAAATAAAAATAATAACAGTAAGAGCAAGTATTGAGAGATATGGAATCAAACTTTCACTTTTTCAGGACATTGAGAGATATAGATCACTCTATACTATTTGTGTTTCTTATTTATAAAATACCTGGTGAGTTATTGTCTTGACATGATCTAAATCATATAAGCAAGGAAGGATCTTGATTATAGTAGGGAGCAACGACTATGATATAATGACAAAATAATGATGATTTATAGGAAATAATGCTATTGACTTTATCATATAGCTTGAATGATGACAAAGGAAATGTATGACCTTTATGGTACAACAAATCTATGGTTCACAATTGTCACCTTGTCGAGTGTTTATGTCAAATATGCCATGATATTGTCATATGCTGTCTTGTTAAGTTGTAGGTGTATGAAGATGCTAACTGGGTGAGATTCTTTCAGCTTTGGCTGCAAAGTTAATGAACTTATTTATATTTACCATTCAAGAATATTCTATTAGCTTTATCCACGACAAAAAAAGGAAGTAACTTCAACATACCTTGTATTCACCAGAAAAAAAAAAATCTTACATATATATCTTGCAAAAATAAACAAACTAAAGCATATAGTTGAGCACACAGATTGCATAAACATAGCTTTTTTTTTATAATGATAGTTCAAATTATCACTGAGCTTTATTATGATTCTCATTTAGAGTCAGAGAGTTGCTAAGACGCCGTTGGGAGGTCAAGGAGAAGCTTTTTCTGTTTCTCTTTTTCCTTCCCCCACAGAACTGCATACAGACCCCCAACTATGAGTACAGCTCCTATAACACTGCAAATTTTCCAACAAGAAATTTATTAACTTTCAATATCTCTAATATATATAATTATGCTAGACTTTTCTTTTTTGATTGACGAAATTATGTTACAAATTAAGAAAAGACTAATGAACGTACTCTCCAAGGTGCAAAGCCTCTCCTAAGATGAAGAGTCCCACTATGGCTACAATTAATGTAGATAAAGGTCCGAAGGCTGTAATAAAAACTGGTCCTTTCATTCGTACTGCCAAAGTTTGAAGGTAAATTGTTACCCCAAACACAAGAATTCCCTGCAATTCCATGATTAAACTTTTCAAACGACTCTCTTCTAATTTTAAATTCCTTTTTTTTTTTTGTAAATAAAAATATAATTTATTGTTATATACGAATATACTCACAGAATAGAGAGGGGCAAGAAGGGTAATGTCCCAAGACAATCTCCAAGATGAGGCTTCACGATCAATAATTGCTGTAAAGATGGCTCCCAGTAAAGTTGCAAATAGGCACATTAATGACGTCAACGTTAATGGAGCCGGATATTTCTTCACTGTAACAGCCTACAGGATTACCATACATATATATCCAATTAATGAAGTTCAACAATATATATGTGTATAACAATTCTTTATGAGGAAATATATATAATATTCATTATATATGGGTGTAATATATAAAGATGGGCTAATAGAAAATTAACTATGAAATGAAATAAAACCTGTAAGATGTAGAAAAATGCTGTAGAGAGGCTTGAGACAAAAAGCATGATGGAGCCTTTTATCCAGTCGATATATGTTAGATGTTTCGCAGCAGCTTGGATGTGATGGGAATGTGTAGAAAGTGGTGCGATCAAAACTGCTCCTTTGTAAAGCGTTATTAGAGTTGCACCACCGAATGATATGCATGTGCCCCATATCTTTGCTTGTGCTATTCTGCTCCCTATCTCTATTTTCTCCATCCTAATATACATATATATATTATCAACAATATTCTCATCATATATATGCATATCACATCATATAATATTCTAATTGATATGATACGTACATATATATATATATGTACTCAGTATAGTTACCTGCATAAAACTGCTAAAACAAAGGTGATTGGTGGGATTAAGTTGCTCATGGCAGACCCAACTGTTGCCGATGTGTATTCAAGGCCTGCAAAGTATAATGTCCTCGCTAACACCCCTCTATAGTTTTTTCAACAAATAAAACTATTTATTATTAGAAAGAACCAATTTTTGGAAAAAGAATCATCTAATTGGTATATATTCAGGAAAATATGTGTCTGATGATCAGTACCCAACAAGGCCATTGAAGAAAGCATTCCGTAGTATTTGTAAGCTGATTTTGGTTGCCTGTTTCCTGCGAGTAGTAGCATGAATTAACCCTCAGATGTTTACGTGTCATGCATGCATATAGCGAAATAATACTAGGACATATAAGTATACAAATATGTGTGGTGTGTGTGTGTGTGTACCTTTCCAGCAGAAGAGCTAGAAGAGCAGTAGCCATAGTTCCAAAAGCATGGGCATAAACTGCAAGCACATAACGGCTCATGCCTCCATCTAGACACACCTTGGAAACAATGGTGTATCCTGCGAACAGTATATTAGACAATATGCACAGCATGTAAGGCTGCAAGTCTTCTACTATGGTTTCTTTCTTTATATTCATTATCCCGATTCTAAACTCATCTCCTATCTCCTGATCCATTTTCTTTATACAAATATTTTTTTCATCTACTTGTATAAATTAATCTCGGATAAGCACCTCTCCTAGCTAACGATTATAATGTGTCCTCATTCGATGCTGAGTTTCTAAATTTATATACAAATTAGGCACTATTTGGCTCTCCTTATTCTCAGAATAAACAAGAAAGGAAAAGAAAAGACCCAAAGTTCAATGCTAGCATCCATCACATGCAGAATTGTAAGTATATATCCAATATAAACACTTTTCCACTTGGAAGTGGAAACGTTAAACGTGAATATTCGTAACCCACATTTGAATATATTTGGTGGGTGAGACTGTTTATTTGGTGTATTCATTAATTAAAAAAATACTTCATGGTATTATCATGAACACGTAGATCAAATGATATTATATTTCCATTATAGAGTTAAACAGTCTAAATTCATGTATTAACCTTATTAGGATCTTTTGAAAATTTATAAAAAAAGAAGAAAAAATGATGCATAAAGTTTACGAAGAGGGAGAGAGGATTCTGCCTTCTTCATCACACCCACATTTGCTTGGCATGCTTTATCCAAAGTGCTTCCTGACCTGGACTCTTTACATCAAGTGGATTGCTATAATTTTACCTAATTTGTTTTTTTAATCATCGATGTTTTTTTATATGTGATTCCATTTTTTGATTTAATATGTTATTCTTATTCTAATTAAAATATTCTAGAATTCATATTTAATACTTGGATATTATGTGCAGCCAAAGAAGAAAACTAGTACTATTATTATTTTTCTTAAATTAATTATGTATGTTGGACATATTTGATAAATATAGTCATTAAAAAAATTAATATTAACAAAGGTGTTGTGGGAAAATATCAAATTTATTAGAATAAGCCAAAAGACTAACAAGATTACATCAAATGAACTGCTACTCAATCTAGAAAAAGTAAAAAAAAAAAAAACAGCTCGAGAGAAATTAAAAAAAACTATACATTATTTATAAATGTCATATTTTATATTACTATATTTATATCAAAATATATTAAAATATTTTAATACATATTTAATATTAATGCTCACATACAATATTTTAACCTATATATTTAGAGAAGTATGAGTTGGTTTTAACCTAAAATCTATATGGATTAAAGTACATGACATTTTATGAACACATCTTCAATCGAAGGTGGGTTTGGTTGATGATTGGGACACATCTTCAACCTACATACATAGTTAGAATAGAATCAATAAACTTTATAATTGACATATGTATATCTTCCTTAATCTGAACACGAAGAAAGACATTGAGGATGTCCAACTGTTAAAAATGCCAACCTCCAAAAAAATAGTTGTAAACTTAACCAATATGCTAATGTTTTAGTATTGTCCATCATTTTTTCTTAATTGTAACCCTTGACAATAAGGTAGGCCCTTTTACGATCTACAGTTGCACCAAATCTGAAAGACTCATTTTTTTTTTCTATATTGCAATTGGTATAAGAGATCAAGTGTTGTTTATGAGCAATACTTGCATCTTATCTTTCCTAATTCTAGAAATTCATTAGCACATAAATAGTAGAATAACGATTAGACCTGTTGGGTTTATCCTTATGGCATGCTAAATAGAGAATGACAATAACTTTTTGAGGGTAAACATGGAAAGAGATAAGCAGGAACTACTTAGTGTATTATATTGAAGTTAGGATGTTTATAGAAAATATGCCAATTTGGTTATCTTGACAAAGTAGGTTTGTAGTTGTTTCTTTGGTACCAACTTGTATGGCTAAACTCTAGTTGATCTTGGAAAAAAAAATTGTCTTTATACTCTAATCTCACAACAAAAAGAAATCAAAATGAAATTTCAAAAACAATGATTGTTAACTTAAAAGTTATTGACTAAAATAAACATTGTAATTAAAGTAGAAACATGTTAGAGATCTTAGAAATGAAGGAGACAAGAAAAAATATTATTAAAATAGAGCCAATATAATGAGTACATAGATCTTACTTGTTGCTAATATTAAGTTGGCATGGCTTTATATTCATAATTAATACTCTATGTGGAGAGGTCAAAACGATATGAAGAAAGGCTTTGGTGTCCAGATACCGAGCGATGATATTAGCAAATGGAATAGAAG